TCCTCATTGAGAAAAAATGGCATAAAAAAGAGTCAAACAAGAGGAGTCCTATCAAATGAGGGGGCTCCACTTCAAAGGAATCAAACCAAGATGATAATTACAAAAGTCCCGAGAAATAGAATCCCACAAAGAAGTATTTAATGTAAGGGTATCCTAGAGTTCTTTCCAAGAACTATCAATTGAAGTGAATAGTCCCCATGTATGTTGTTTTTATCGTAGGCTGCCCCTAGGCTGGGTTTAGTTGGTGGTCAAAATGCCGTCCCCATGTATGTTGTTTTTATCGTAGGCTGCCCCTAGGCTGGGTTTAGTTGGTGGTCAAAATGCCTTGATATTTGCCCATGAAATCAATGTTTTGGGATCACAGATGAGTTATGTGACTATTTAAGTTAATGATCATAATATAGTCTGTACTCAGTTTTGAATTCTGAGTAGATGGAAATGTTAAAGAGTTTTTAGTTCTACAAAAATCATTATTGCACACTGATTAAAAATATTTTTGAAGATGAGCAAGAACTTGTCAATTTGAAAATGCTCTCTTTTTCTCACTCGCACACTCTCATGTGGGCATGCATATTTGGTTAGTGCGACGAACATAGCTATTACATTAGCCAAACACAAGATCCTTTATGTAGTTTACTTCACTAAAAGCTTTCTATGTAGTCAATAGTACTAATAATAATAATAATAATACAGGTGAAGAGAATTTACATTCCCTTGCCAGATGGAAACGGTAGAAGACTTCTTCTCAAGCACAAGCTCAAGGGACAGTCATTTTCTCTACCAAGTAAGAAAGAGGTTTTAGTGAAGTTCCCGTGAGATATTCCCTTAAACACCCCCGCCTGCTCTTTTCTTCTCTTTTCACGAAAATGTGTATATAACACTAAAAAAAAGGTTATTTGATTCCATAAACATTGTAAAGTTTGCTAAGTGGCTGAAGGAAGTTGTAAACTTTTATGTAAGTTTATGAGTTGAAATTATGGCAGTGAGTAGACTTACCAAATATTAAATATTCAACAGTTTTAACTCTTTATTGTAACTTAAAACAAAAACTCTTTATTGTAAGGCAGTAGGGTGATGGTCCTATGGGATTGGTCAGTTTGGATGTTAGCTGATGGTTATGACTGTGGACTTCAAATACCTCTCTCTGCCCGGTTAACAGTACCACAAGCCCGTACCTATTAACTATTTCATAATTGTCATTTATGTTCATCCAAAATTCAGCCTTTTACTGTAATTAATACTTCCAAGCTTTTTTTGTTCAACAATCATGGGGTGGGGATTGAACCATCAACTTTTAGAATGGTAATTGGTAACTTATTCAATGAGCTATGCTTGGATGGACCGTACTTTTGAGGTCTGATTGATTAATTTAGTGTGCTATTTAAAATTGTATGTCCTCTTCTGATCAATTGCTTATATTGCATTGTAGATCATGCTTTCATTTGCTAATGGAATGTGCTCTTCCGCTCTATATGTTTATCCCTTCTGCCAAACCTTTATTTATTTATTTATTTTTTTTGCTAAGTTACTTTGATTAACATACATGCCTCATTTTCCTTGACAGGTAGAGATCTAGAGAGACTAGTTACACAGACTGAAGGTACCATACTTTTTTCCCTAAATTTTGTAATCTTTCAGTACTTCACTAGTCGAGAAATTTGCATGACTTTAAGAACAGCGTGGACAGAGTCTTTGTGCATGTTATTTACTTTTAAATAAGAAACCAAACTTCTATTAAGAATAAGAACACAGAAGTTAGAAGTTAGAACTAGAATGGCCATGCTGAAATCTGGAAATGTTAAACAAAAGTTTTTCCCTTGCATCTCGGTCACTTTTACTTTTTCGGGTATCAAAACAAAAGGAAGTATTTGTTTCGAGTATCTGACTGGATTTAGCAGAACAAATAAGGAACATTTGCAAGTAGGAGCTCTCATGGTTAGTGATTAAGAACATGGTTACATAGGAATGCCCTGAAAAAAGCTAGAAACAGAAGCCACACTCGGAGTTTCCTCCCACGTTGTACTGTTATCCTAGAAAACCTTTCCGGTCCTCTTACGAAGCCACACTCGGAGTTTCCTCCCACGTTGTACTGTTATCCTAGAAAACCTTTCCGGTCCTCTTACTGGGTTCTTCACATAATAGATAAAACCCCATCCAGTTGGAGAGTGAATCTTAACAACTTGGTGCTTGAGCCAAAAAAAAAAAAAACTCATGGTATTATTTACATGAACAGGATACTCGGGAAGTGATCTACAGGCCTTGTGCGAGGAAGCTGCAATGATGCCAATTAGGGAGCTAGGTGGGAACATTCTCACAGTAAAGGGCCTTGTGCGAGGAAGCTGCAATGATGCCAATTAGGGAGCTAGGTGGGAACATTCTCACAGTAAAGGCAGATCAGGTGACTCACATAAAAACTGTTCTTATACTTTTAAACTCTGTGAACTGGCCCGACACTCACTGATACTAATAAAAAGAACTCTGAAGTTGACCTGTTAATCAGATAATCTTATCTGTTACGGCGTAATCTCATGCAGAAACTGTGTCTAATTCCCTTAGATTGACTATATAGAAGCAGATGAGTAGTAGTGTGCGTTTTATAGTAGCTTGTTCGGGGAGACTCGTGCATTTTGAACTGCCTGCAGATGAGTAGTAGTGTGCGTTTTATAGTAGCTTGTTCGGGGAGACTCGTGCATTTTGAACTGCCTTAGACTTGTCTCCTTTCCTCTCATTTTGCGCATTTGAGTCATTAAACTTCGATTATCATATCATAATCTTACCTGTTACAGGGTAATATCATGCATTAGAGTGACTAAATAGAATGAGATAAGAAGTGTGCGTTTTATAGTAGCTTGTTTGGAGAGACTTGGGCATTTTGAACTGCCTGAGACTTGTCTCCTTTCCTCTCATTTTGCGCATTTGAGTCATTAAACTTCGATTATCATATCATAATCTTACCTGTTACAGGGTAATATCATGCATTAGAGTGATTAAATAGAATGAGATAAGAAGTGTGCGCTTTATAGTAGCTTGTTTGGAGAGACTTGGGCATTTTGAACTGCCTGAGACTTGTCTCCTTTCCTTTCATTTTGCGCATTCGAGATCATTAAACTTCGATTATAATATCATAATCTTACCCGTTACAGGGTAATATCATGCAAACTTCGAGATCATTAAACTTCGATTATAATATCATAATCTTACCCGTTACAGGGTAATATCATGCAAACGTTGTGTCTAATTCCATTAGTGTGATTATATAGCAGCAGTGCGTTTTATAGTAGCTTCTCAGGAAAGACGAGCGTTTTGAACTGCCTAAGACTTGTCTCCTTCCCTTTCATTTTGCGCATTCGAGATCATTAAACTTCGATTATCGTATCATAACCAATAATCTTAGCTATTACAGGGTAATCTCATGCAAACATTGTGTCTAAAACTGAAAATTTATATCTTTTGTGCACCAGATAAGATCATTAAAGTACGAAGATTTCCAGGAGGCAATGAAAGTGATCAGGCCCAGTCTAAACAAAAGCAGGTGGCAGGAGCTTGAACAATGGAACCAAAGTTTTGGATCCAATTAGACAATGAAGAAATTCAGTGTTTGTTAGAGGCAGCTGTTGTTGTGAAGTAAACTGAACAGAACCCCTTCCCCATTCTCTATGCTATAATACTGTACAGCCTTACCTTCAAACAAACTTCTAAATAGCTCAATTCTTTGTTTTCTTGTTTAGTAAATTAATTAAAAAAATAATTACGAAATATATTTTGATTTTAGGAGATTTAATATAATATTTCATATCAATTTTATTTAATTAAGTATGAATTCTTCGGCGCTTCCGATAACGTTTATTATTATTATTTCATATCAATTTTATTTAATTAAGTATGAATTCTTCGGCGCTTCCGATAACGTTTATTATTATTTTACTTAAATAATAACAATTGCTAAATTTTTCGATTATTATTATTATTATTTAATCATTATCTCTTCCATTAATTTTTTGTTCATGAAATATATTTTTAGTTAAACGTATATATTTGATAAAATATATTTATAATATTGTCAAATTATTAACTTTTAAACTTCACCTTGTTGATGTTTTATTTATCTTTTAAAAAAATAAATTTAAAGGGTAATTATTAATTTTATTTTAAAAACATGTCTTCAAATCATGTTAATCAACTTAATAATTTTTTTATTTTTTTATTTTTTTATTTTTTACTTCAAACATTTGAATATCTGACATTTTGGTTGATAACTATTCTTTTTTACATATAAATGAGACAATTTTAGTTATACAATTAAAATAGATTTTAA